TCTTTTTGTTATTCACATATCGCCAAAATGACCTTGAATCCTGGCTGATGTCTTGCTGAACTTCAATCAAATAATCTTTGTGTGCTTTCTTTATGTCGTTTTTTATCTTGTTTCTTAATTGAATAAATTGATTATATGTTTCTATATTTTTTGTTCTCTTGATCTTAGTTCTCAACTTCTCTTTACTCTTTATATCTTTAATAATATGTTTTGTAAAGTATACAGGATATATCTTTGAGCAATTTTTTCTTTTTGGAACACAAATGTCAAAAATATTATATATTTTATCATAGAAATGCTTAACAGCCATATTGACATCATCAAGAGATTCCAGGTCATTCCAGGAAGCATTGTGAAACAATTGGTACATAGCGTCGAAATCAGCTTTCCTGAAGTTGTAATTTTGGGAGTGACTATTCCCATTCCCTGTCAAATTTCTTTGTCTAGGGGTTTTAAACTCAATTTCTATCATAAGTGGAGGATGGTGTGTATCAATGTCAACAAAACTGAAAGTACTTTCATATACCCTACATTTACTATTAGTAACAACAACATCAAGTAAGCGGATATTACCATTTAGTACCCGATTCATCTGGTGGCAATCAAAAAATTGGAGAAAATTCAGGAACATATCTATCTGTTGATCCCTGAAGTTACCCAAATAATAATCGTTCAAGTGACTAATATTAAGATCTCCCACCAATATGATTTTTTTCTGGTAAATACATTCTTGATTTTCAATATATGAGAATAGATGCTCTCTCTCTAATAGACCACAACTAGTTGAAATATAAACCACCAATATATAAATGAAGTTAACATCATCTACAAAGACTTTAGCCCCTAACAAATCTATGCATGGCACATCAAAATCTAAATTCAATTTACAAGTTTTGTAGGTTTTTTTGACTGCCAGTAAGACACCACCACCACGCATATTATCTTCCCTGTTTCGACATTTAAAAATGGTAAAGGACCCTGGGAACAATTCACTATCATACACACTGTTAGTCAACCATGTTTCGCTTAGAGCAATTGCATCATATTCATTTTCAGTTAATATCACTGAATGAAAAAAGTCCACTGTTTTACTATTAAGTCCACGCACATTTTGATACACAACAGTGAAAGCTATTTCTTCTTCGGTAGAAACCTTATCATCATTAACTGCGCTCAGTTGCCCATTATCGTTCATCTCTCTGCTAAAAAATTTTCTGTGGTCAAGTAATTTGTTTGTTGCTGAAGTCTTCTGATTCTTTGCATATATACAGGACACGACGAATTTCGGGCGGAATGATTGCCTTGGGGTAAGTTTGACCTCTTACAATTAGGACAATTAAGAGCATCTGCAGAACACTGACTACTATTATGGACACCACCACATTTATGACAACAATCATCGGCCGAGCAGTGTTTGGCAACATGGCCAAATAAACAACACTTAAAACACATTGCTACATTTGTATACTCCTGGACATATGCAGGGCAGAAGTCGAATATCAGGTTATTATTTCTAATGAGCCACTTAAATAAAGCCGGAGGAGTCTGAAATATCCAATTTTCTTTTGCGCTGTTTCTGCAGTCTTTTTTTGTCACATATTTGAACTGGTTCTGTACATTTTCACCAAAGGTGTCTAGAATATCAGGATTATCAGCAACAAATTCATTAATGAATGTTCCTGGTGAATGTCCTTTAAAAACTCCAGTTATCTTTATCATTGGATCTAAATTAAAAATATTTTTAACCGACACATTTTTGTTAGCATTTTCAAGGGTTTCTTTCAACTTTTTCTGTTGAGACGCATCTTGACATTCTATTATGACACTTCCACTCTGTAAAGGTTTGATTCTTTTAAAATGTCCGTCAAAATTATTTGCTTCAAGATTTTTTTTAATCTCACGCATAACGATTCTAGAATCATTATTTTCTTTAAGCCTAACAATTGGTTTCATGCTTCAGGTTTCGCGGCGGAGGAGACTTCCATTCAGTTACTTTTGCGCTTGATGTGGGATTGTTTCCCGCAGGTGCACTTCTTACTATTTACATCGCTATATGATGTTTGAGACAGTTGGGGTCGAGGTTGGGGTGAATGAAAATTGCTATTCCGGAAAGCGTTTTTGTCAGATGTTAATTCTGTGATTTTATTTTATTTTATAGGAAGTTGTCATGTTATTTTTTTGTGTTCTATCTGAATCCGAGAGATTGCCCACATATTCTGGGACACCCTGTATAATATGTTGGTATACGTAGATCAATAATCCATGTTCTCACAAGAATGTCATAAAGAGAATTTGGTTATGGAAACAGCAGAAGGAGAAAAATCGAGAATCTCTCAATGCTGATGAATCCTTGAAACTCTGGTGAGAATCCCATGTTAAATAAAACTATAGCTGCGTAATAAATATGGAGCCATAATTAATTGATTACCTTTTCCAATTTTATTCGCATAATACACAAAAATGAAGAACAAAGCAAATATTTTTATTCAAAAATACGTGAAATGACACGCTATAAGGTCTCCTCGGTAGTTCCAGACTTGGAAGAAAATGGCATATGTTCCACGAATCAAGAAAAAGTGAAAACGTTTCACGATTAGTATGAGCAACATTTCAATCAGAGCGAGCATCCTGACTTTGTATATTTATTTATTAATAGATGGTAATCATGAAAATTCTAGAATACTGCCTTAACAAAAAATGTTTTCCAGAGATATGGAAAAAAGGTATCATAATAAATATAGGGGAGAGTCGGTGAATTGTGCGCACCTAAGGAAAAAGAAAGATATTTTCTAAAATATGGCTCATGGAGCTTTGAAATTTGGCATAGATATTCTTCTGTGTTATAGCTGACAGCCCAAATCAACCAAAGATCACAAAGAAAATATTCTGAGCCTAGGGACAAAATTAGATAAAAACTGACACTGCGCACGATTATCCACCCTATGCGGTTAATGGTGCGCACTAGTCAGGGCAATTGTGCGCAACAGAAAACTATTGAAAACTATCGGATATAAAGGGTGGATTAAAAACAAGTGAAACAAAGTACATAATACGTTTATTGCAAACATAATATTAAACTAAATTATTGCATAAAAACCATAACTATATAGTGGTCGCAAAAGTCGCAGATGTAATATTCGGGGGAGTCTACCCCACTGCAAAGCTCATGGGCTCATTTGCCGCAGATCACACACTGAAACCAGTATTCGTCTTTCTTGCTCCAGTCGTCGCAAACCAAACATCTGTCTCCGAGATTGACCTCCGTGTCATGAAGTTCATCATCATCACATAACTGGCTGTCTGAGACTTCTTCTTCAGATTCACTTTCCTCAAAAACCTTCCTTTTAACGGTCTTATTATTTTTAGCGGGATGTTTTGCACTCGCTTTACCTGTTTTTGACGGTTTTTGTTCTAATTTTTTTTCCAAATTTGCTTGCCTATCTTTTTTTTTTAACTCGCAGAGGACGGATAATTGTGCGCGATGCGCACAATTAGCCAACATGGACCTAATTGTAATAAAAATTCACAAAAATAAAATTGTACGTTATTTACCTTGGAAAAATTTCTCCAGTAATAGTAGGAACCCCACTGATTATTTTGGTGAAATTTCCGAAACAGGAATGTTCTTATTTTCAAAGTTATCGCTTGTTTTCACCCGCTTAAATTTTAATATAAACAGTCGGATAAACCGCCAAACACGATCACCGATATGTTTAAGCAGCAAATCGCACGAAAGTCAGCGTTACTTTCAAAGACATCTATGAGACGGCGCCACGTGTACGAATTTGATCAAATAATAGGCGTTTTCGTATGGTATTATGGTGCGCACCATTAGCCGCTGCGCACGTTTACCCGACTTCCCCCTACAGAAGCTGGCCAGTTGGTTTCATCCAGAGCCATCACAACTAAATCTCTCACACACACGCACACATAATAAATATACCAAAAGCACAGCTTGACCAAAACTACACAAGGACCATAAATTTCCCAAAAATTATGAGCTATTATTATTACTTCCTGTTATAGGGGAAATATATGAAAAAATAATACGACTCAGCCTTACAAACATAGTAAATGAAAAATTAACTAACAACAAGAGCCATGGAATTAACATCAGAGCGGCGGCAAAAATTTACAAATCAATCTGCAGACCTCTTCTAGAATACGGACACACAAATCCTTCTTAATCTTAGACCACCGAAAAAAACATAAAAACAGCAGATGCGACATCCTCAAAATTCACTGTTCAGAGGACAGGAATTGAACCAATATATCAGCTCAGTAAGAAATTTGTTCCAAGGCCACATAACATAAAGATCCTAGAGCCAATATGTAGAACAAGAGAGAACAAGGGTTCCTTTTTGCTGTTTTCTTTTTCTTCTATTTCCTATTGATTTTTTTTTTTGTTACACAAAAGTAATATTCACTTAGTTATACGAACATATTGTAAATATTTTATGTATGTATGTCATTGTAAAATTTACTTTAGCTGAAGGACGGTCGATGGTCTTTCAGGAAACAAATAAAGTTCTTAATATTAATAATAATAATAATACACAAAAACTGTCAGAAACACTACTCTTGCCGCTAGGTGACAAACCAAAACCAAGGGGAAAGGGAATAACAGCAATAATTGAATAAAACTCGAGCTCAAAAAAATTCTGTATAGTCTGAAGATAAGTACCTACCTACATTTCATTGACAAAGCTGCCTAAAAATACTACCTACATATTATATTATAATCAGGAAAATTTCGAAGCTCGAGCTATATATTGTTAAAAAAATTGTTTGTGGGGATACGGCCAATAATAAAGACAGACTTCTTCTTCAGTACAGCTAAAAAAAAACTGGACATGGGCGCATCCCCACAAACATTTTTTTAATAATATTATGTTAAGTATATCCATAATTATATCTATATAGGTACCTACCTAAATTAGCTCAACAACAAAAAATTAAATAGAAGAGAGGTATTTACTTATAACTCTCTTATGTTTTAGGAGAATGTTTGTTTAACTCCAGCAATCGTTAATCGATCAAAACGTTTATTGAACGATCGGGACATGAGGTATATTTTTCCTGAAAAATACCGAAACCCTGGTAGTCATGAGCATTTTGAAAGGCCTTGTGAACCTTATACTGTTGGAGTTATCGAAAAAATTCATAATAATGGTAGGACAGCTATTAGAGAATTTTGGAGAGTAGAAGATACAACACAGACTCATACATATGGCGATCCAAATTTATTATACTATACTAAGTGCCTTTATTACATAGGTAAGTTGCATGATTGAATTATATCAAGTACGTACATATTATATTTCGAAGGAAGGTTAGGACCTACTTTTTTTCTCAGGAGAAGTGGATAATCTCTGATGAATGAGTGATTTGAAATAGTAACATAAAAACCATAGATACCAATCTCAGTTTTAGTTCATCACTGAACAATCACCACTGTGAATAATTTACGCGCTCTAGGGTCAAACAAAGCTCAGCCTTTCTGGGCATGCTTACTGGAAAACTCATAATATGTGCAAACTTTAGGGAACATTCACAGGATTAATATTCTTTCACACGCGGATAATGTATATGAGAGACGCATATCCGAAATAAAGAATCGCAGCTGTATCAAGCTACTGTATCTGAGATTCATGATGTTCTTAAGTCACAGCCAGTGCAAAATCTTAAGCGCAGTGACTTGCAGTTATGGAAGCCAAGTCATTGCGTTTACTTACCATCCTATAACTAATATAATTATTAGATTTTCACCTTTAAATCTTTATGTTTTTGAGAGTATTTTGTTCTAGCAAACCTCACCGAATGGGCGTCTGTCATAAAGGGGAAATGCTTTGTATCTCATACAAAGCATATTCCGGACAGATTCCAGTGGATTCATCAGGGGCCATATCGTTTCTATTTTGAACAATCCTACAACCCCCACACTGAGGCCTATGGAAATTTGCCACAAGGTTCAGAGAATATAGGTAGACACATTTTATATTCTACTGATAGGTACTATACAGGACAAATTCGAGTGCATGCATGGGGATATCGGAAACCGTAAGAGATACGAGGTAAATTATCGCAAAGTTGCGTCACTAAGATATAATCGAAAAAAAAAAAAACGGTTTTCTCGCAAAATCGTTTGAAAAGATATTTATAAAGCACACTCACAAAAAAATAAAGTTGATGATGACTGCCTACCTAAAGGTGAAACGTGGGATTCTAAATTTGTTAATGTCGTTTTGTAGAGGAGAAGAAATGACAACAACGAAGTGTGAGGATTCTAAATTTGTGAATGTCGTTTTGTAGAGGAGAAAAAGTGACAACAACGGAGTGTGACTTACCTATTTAAAAAAATCTTCTCTGGAAAAAGTTAACCATTTTTTGTTTTTCGATTATCTTCAGAAATAATGGGAATTTTTACAAATTTTTAAACAGCAAGAAATATTTCTGGGAAAAAATTAGGTAAATGGTGTGGAGATGCTCATCTTTGTTTAACGCAATGTTTTTGTTACAAACTTTTCGACACATTATTTCATGCAAAGCACTTATCGATAAAATTTGCAAAGTTAAGAAATAAATTTCAAACAAAATGCTGTTTTCTCTCAAAATGCTGTTTTCTCTCAAAATGCTGTTTTCTCGCAAAATCGTTTTTACTTTTTCCCGAGCCTATTTGAGAAGATGTTTTTTAAATAATTCACACTTCGTTGTTGTCACTCTTTCTCCTCTACAAGACGACATTGACAAATGCAGAATCGTCACACTTTGTTGTTGTCATTTCTTCTCCTCTACAAAACGACATTAACAAATTTAGAATTCAACGATTCACCTTCAGGCAGTCATCATCAACTTTATTTTTTTGTGAGTGTGATTCATGAATATCTCTTAAAATATCTTTTCAAACGATTTTGCAACCCATACATGCACTCGAATTTGTAGCACCCTGTATTCTGTATAGATTTCACTGTAAGGATAGTTTTCCATAGACCACGGAAAATGAATAAAGTGATAACTGCAAATTTTTGCATACTTCAAGATTCTTATTTAGATATAACTATTGTTACTTAAAATGGATTATCGGAGTTAATAGTTCATTAAAACAATGGTAAATGAATTTCCGAATTCTATTCAATATAGGTATGTTCAAAAACATTTGCAAATATTTCCTAGTTTGAAAAACCTATATTATTTTTTAATCACGGCTGGACACTCACCATTGCTAGCCAAAAACCTCCTATCATTCCTAAATTCTCATGACTGATGATAGTGCCGGAGGATACAACAGACATTAGGTACCTACATGACTTAGATATTTTCATTATTAGGCTCCATGGATATAAAAAAAAAGTTATTCGATATTCTAATTTTTTTGTTTTTGTTTTGAGATCCCTAAAATTATACAGTACCTACCTAAGTTTCACTTAAATTAGGTCTCACAAAATAGGTATGTACAGGGTGTCCCGTTTTGGTTGTACATACGGGATAACTCGGTATTGCTATTGTAGTTAGAAGCTTGTGGTTTTCGCGAACTTCTTTGTCAAACGAAAGATGCCGTCAACAGAAATGTAGTCGCTCTTTTTGAGATACCTACAAGGTGTTTTTGAAAATGTTGCATTTTGGGACGTCTCTCTCGTAGCTGATTTAAAAGGTGATAAGGGGTTCTTATAGATCTTTCTACATAGATTCCAGTGGCATAGTCAGTTTTCCTCTAGAAGTCACAGTTTTTAAATTATAAACCCAAGATACATTTTCTCAAACGAGACACCCTGTATATTATTAACTCATTGGATAGCTCTGCTATTGCTGATTTCAATTTCCGCATAAGAAACAATGTGTTAGAAAAGGACTTTATATCTGTAAGAAAAATGAAGAAGGTCTCTTTATAACACCTTGTTTCTTAAGACAAAAACATATTTTTTTTTTTTCTGGAAAACTGTTAGAGATAAACCTTTCGAACTTTATTTATATCATTGAAATCAGCAAAAGCAGAGCTATCCAATGAGATATCAATATTTGAAAAAATGTATGTTTGGTTTATAATTTAGAAACTATTACTTCTATGTAGAGAAAAACTGACTACGTAACTGGAATCTATAAGAACTTGTTGTGGCCGTTGTTACCTATTCGATCATTTATGAGAGAGCCGAGATACAAAGGGCGTCCCAAAATAAAACATTCTCAAAAACACCTTGTATCTCAAAAACAAAAAAGGCGATGATAATTCTGTTGACGGCATCTTTCGTTTTACAAAAAAGTAGCCAACGTTTCTGAAAATTGCATCATTCTAACTCCAGTAGCAACCGAGTAATCCCTTATGTACAACCCAACATGGGACACCCTGTACATATTTAGTCAGAATCAGATTTTTCTCTGAAAGCAATGCCAACTTTTGGAACTAAAAGTCATTAGAATTTGACATTATTTATGTGACTTAGCCTGCTGGATGTTTATCCTTACTCTTGAAATACTATACCTATGCATTTTTAATTAGTTGGTTAAATCTTATTTCTGTTAGTAACAAAGCAATATAGTTTTTTTATATACATCTAGGATTACCTGGAAGTAATCCAGAATCTCCTGCACCTTGGCCAACATTAGAAACCAAACTAAATTGCATGGACATATATGCTGGGTGCGGTGGTTTGACGAATGGGCTGGAACAATCTGGTTGCATTGAAACCAAATGGGCAGTAAGTTTAATATAGAAAGAACTGCTAATTGGGTCTGTGAATATTGGACAACTGAAAATATTTTACTAAAAACGGTTGAGAAACTCTATTTCATAATCTAATAAAAAACAGTAAAAAGAAATTGACGATTAGGTATCATCAATATACCAATATATCTTTATGCGGGCTTGGCTTAGTATTACTTTACATTATTAAATAAAAAAACATTTTTTTTTCAGATTGAATATGACTCTGATACTGCAGACGCCTTCAAGTTGAATCATCCAACTGCAAAAGTTCTTGCGAGAGACTGCAATGACGTTTTAAATTTGCTTATTTCAGGCAAACAGTCCAAACTAGGTCTGCCAAAGAAAGGCGAAGTTGATGTTATTGCAGGAGGTCCTCCATGTCAAGGTTTCTCAGTGCTGAATCAACATGCCACTGCGGATAAGTCACTTAAAAATAACAGTCAGATCTACACTTATTTAGGATTTATCGACTACTATAGGTGAGTGAATGTTGTTTTTCGTATTGTAGTATTTATGGATCGACCACTGTATGTCGGATGACTGGGATCCTAAAATTTGGAATAAATATAAATTCAATAGTAGGAATAACATATCTCACACCTGTATAGATCATACCTACTATAAAATTAAATTTAAAAATAGTCTTTTAAATCATTTGAAATAATAGCAGTAGCAACATGTGGACATAATAAAAACATTCTGTTAATGTGAGAGATGACAATAATACGATAGGTACCTATTCTGGACTACAAAGCAATGGCGAACCTTTGTAACAATTACTTTACAGAGGTCAATCCTGGAATGTGCGAAAGAATCCCTCTGATTCTGCTGACACCTATAGATTTACTGAATAAATATATGTTTTAGAATGAAATTACTGTCAATAAACTTTTATAGAAAATAAACATACTTTAAATAATATCAGCCCACCTAAGACCTACTAACCTAGGTATGATAGGATATCGACCAAATTTATTAAACAACTGCATCTTTGCATAATCACTCATTAAAACACCTATTAAATTCAAATAGCAAAGCAGGAATTGTTCCAGAAGAATTTAAGATTTCAATTATGTATTATTATCAGAGTCCGGGTTTGGTTATATTAACGACTGGCCAGTCCGTGTAACCACTCTCATTATGCAAATATTTTTGAAGGACCTATTTATGTGAAATAACAGACTTTTTTTTTTTAAAATAAATGTATATTTTTAAATTCTAAATAGTAAGTTTTGTTTATTTCTCAACTCTAGACCAAAATACTTCATCTTTGAAAATGTCGAAAACTTTGTGCAGACGGATGATGCACGCTATTTCCAAATGTTCCTGAAACGCGTTTTAGAAATTGGCTATCAGGTAACCTTCGGTATACTGCATGTTGGAAATTTTGGAATTCCACAATCCAGGCACAGGATTTTTGTCATCGGCGCAGCTCCTGGTCTTGAATTACCAATTATGCCCGAAAAGACACATTGTTTTGGTCACTTTGAAAAAAAGATCCATTTCATCAAGGTCGATAATGTTTTGTACGATAATGGTGAGTGAAATACCTACATATAATATAATATAATAACTACATAATACATTGTGAGTAAAATTATTTTGAGCAGATAGTTTTGTCATATTTTTCAAGGTGGAGATATCGGAGTTTGGGGGTCATTGCCCTTTCGAAGAACAACAGTGAGCGATGCCATAGCAGATCTTCCTCAAATAAATTATGATAGCATGTCAGAAGAAATGCCATATGAAGAGAGACCCGACCTATCTACATATGTCAGATTTCTGAGAGAAAATTGTCAGCCCAAAAATTTAGTAAAGGACCATGTCTGCAAGAAATTTGATCCCATTTACCAGAAGCGAATGGAGTTGATTCCCCCTGGAGGAGATTGGACCGACTTGCCAAACTTAAGACTCACTTACCTGAAGGGAGACGCATATACATTAACGGACGTATTGCAATACTCTTACAGGTAAATAAAAAAAAAAAAAAAAACACTCTAAGAGTTTCTCTTCTGTTTTCTGGGAATTGTCGAGAGCTCTACCTATTAGTACCTATACAAAGTGTATCAGATGTCAAACTTTTGTATACAGAGGTTTGGCAAGTCAACATCTTACGGGCATCTAGCATGGAGCGCTAGGAGTACTGGGGGTGGAAGAGGGGAAATCGTTTTCGTTCTCTATTTAGCTTTAGACTTTTTCTAGGCATTTCATTCTATTGCCCTAACACCCTGCCCCTTTCCTCATTTGTAGAAAAAAATATCTGATCGAAATGTACAGGGGGAGCCAAGTAAGAAGCAGTATTTTTAATCATTGCCTTCGGGGCTGTTGCAAAATTAAATTTTTTACTCTAAAACTGCATAAATTATTTAAAAATATGAAGAAAATATCGCATAAAAGGCTATGAAAAAATGTTTCGAAAAACTTGAGGAAGATTTGTTGATGTAGGAATGACATTTGAAAATTCGTATAATGCACCCCCCATTTTCTACCTGAAACCACCCTAAAAAAATTAAAATTTGAAAAAAAAGCAATTTGTTTCAAGTTTTATTGAAGAGCATTTAGTCCTCTTTAATTTACTATAGAGGTATTTTTTTGGAAAACGTGCTGGAAGCGCTACGTTCCGGAAAAACCACAAAAAACTACCTTTAGGGGGATGTTCCAGGAAGAAATTTTGTTGGAAAAAGTTAGACCCACAATAAGCAGCCCTTGTTCTACCAGAAAAAAAAAAAATAAAACAGAACTTGAGTTTGCGAGGTTCAATCTCTCTTTCCTGGCCTATTAAATGATTCAAAGCAATGCTAAAATGTGTAGATTATGTATAATTTATTAAATCTAATGTTGGGTGATTATAATTCGAGTTTTTCTGAGATAACTGTGCTTCATTACTGACTGAGGTGCCTATTTACATCATAACATATTGAATAGAGAAACTTCTTTGCTGAGGGGCAACAATTTTCGAGCGTTACGAAAATTCTGATCGCGCAAGGGGAGTATGAACAGAACGTTAGTAGCGACCAGTGGGGGGGATACGCACACGACAGGTTTTATTGGGAGACGACAGGAGGAGAAATGGTAGTAGCGTAGCCTATATTAGCATCTACGCATGTGTTAATGGAAACGACCGGTAAGGGAGACGGCAGGGGAAAAGTGCAAATGAGGTCACCGGGATGCTTCGGATTTATCGTAACGTTGCTAGTGTTTGTCTGCTCCTCGAAATTACCATGATTGATTCATCTCTTTGTCAAATTCAATAACTACCCAAGTAACAACAGCACGTGAAAATGACGTTAAATACTGGTCATCAAGTGACGAGAAATGACGAGCTAAATGACTTAATTATGACGTGAAAATGACTTCCTAATGTCTGGGACGAATGACGTCATAGTTGGTACGTCATTTTTACGTGTTATTTGACGTCAAGTTTATGAGTTATTTAACGTGATATTGGCGTATTAATAACGTTCCATTCGCGTGATATCTATTTTATAAATGACGTCATATTTACCTGATATATTTTCTATAAATCCTTGTTTTTTCAAATTTATATGACCTGTAACGAAAATGAACCAACACTATATCACTTTTGAGAAAAATATATTTAAAAAAAGACAATATAAATATTCTGTAGGCGTATTAAACATATTACTTGTAGTACTTGCTAGGTGAGGTAACAACCAGACACTTACCTGTTGGTCCATAAGTTGGCCCTTAGGTGAACAAGCAATAATAATAATGTATATTATAATATAAAATAAGGTATATTAAAACAAAAGACATATACTTACGGTTGGTGATTGTTATTAGTCTCAACACAAACACGTGAATAAAACTCACATTCATATAGAGGCGTTTCACTTGGATGCAGCAGGATGATTCTGAAGAGAAATTAAAACCGAAAAATATATCAAGAATTAATAATTCCACGCGATACTTGCGTAAAAAAGAAATGAGGGAAACTTGGAGGGAAATGAGAAAGCAAAAAGCGAGGGAAAACCAAATGAAACACGACCACGCCATGCTACAACCACAACATAACCTCAACAAACTCCCTCACAACAATCAACGTCAACAGTCACACACACAGTAGCGAATTGGAAGGGTTAGTGCGCACTGAGTGTGTTCGTGTCTTTTCTACCGACTTCTATAAGAAAGAGATAAAAAAACATTTTTCTGCACTGGTTCTACCAATAGAATTCGCTGAATAGCATATTCGTTTCCCCACGCGGCGATGCAATATTTATTGTTGTCCCTTACTAATACTAAACTAATGCTAGAATTTCGAAACAAAAAAAATACAGGAGTGAGTGTATTTGTATTTACTCTTTTCCTTTTTCCCGTTGAGTTACTCGGAGCTGCTCAAAGTCAGAAGCTTGAACGTTTTTCGTTCGGTGTTTGTTCGGTGTCACTCGATGTATAAAAGGAATACAGTAATTTCCGCATTCACCAAACCGTTGACCAAACACAAAAACAAACCAAATACGTCCCCTTTCTGGCCTTTCCACAGTTTCTACCGTTTATTTCTATACTATTTGAAAGTCAGAGATGGAACTATGAGTATGAACTATGGGAGTTTTCCATTTAATTTTTATTCAAAGATGTGTTTTCAAACGCATCAAAGTTTTGCTGTAGTAAAAATTAAAAAACAGGATGTCGAAAAAATGCGAGGGTAGGGGTATTATTCGCATTCGATTCGATCAAAATTTTCGTGAGTAGTTACAAATGCGAAAAAAAATAATGATTTGTATCATCACTTTGTCTCCTATTCACTATAGAATACAGTATACACGGCACAACCCTAGGAATTCTAGGAATACATTCAAAACACATTGAAAAAAAAAAAAACTAATTCAAAAAACCAGGTTTACTGAACCACAAGCAAAATACGTGAATATTACATGATATATATTGACGTCAATGTGTATTACATTTATCACCAGAAAAACGCGTCAATATTACGTGATAAAAAGCACGTCATTTGAACGGCATTTATCACACGTCAATATGTCGTCAGTTTTTGGTCAGGTGACGAGTATTGACGAATTATCACCATATAAGGACGTCAATATGACGTACCCTTGCTGGCTGGGTAATTTCTTTTAAAATATATCACAATATATTACGCTTTGATCATACCCGCACCCTTACAATAATTCTGTGCGGTGTCACTAATACATTTTGGTATAATGTGTGAATATTATGCAAAAATTTGGTTCTACTATTTAGTCAGTTATATTTGTTTAGTTAATATTGGATTTGTATGTATACCTAATGGTAGTATTAAAATATTATTTATAAACTATAACTGAGGGTTGAGTGCAAGAGCGCTGCTCACTGCTGCGTCACATGAGTGCAAACTCTGCCTTTATCGATTGCTGGTTATTCTACTCTTTATACACTGTACTTGTATATTGTATATTTAGGTACGAACAATTACGGCAATAAAAGCATTTATTATTATTATTATCATTATTATCATTTTTATAGCACTGACAAGAAAGGCAAACCTGTAAAAAAAGTGGAGAGCCTTTCGGATTTACCGACGATTATTCCATTTTCAATAGCCTCCACCGAAAGTGACTGGAAAGGCGTTTTTGGTCGAGTGACATGGGATGGTCATTTCGAAACTGTGCTCACAAAACCAAACCCTTCAGGGTTCCAGGGACGAGGTAAATAAAAACATTTATTTATATCTACTTAATAAGTGATATTTTCATAATATGTGCAGTCGGTCGGCAAGGTAAAGTGTTATTTTTTGTTTGAAATTAGCTCTATTCATGGCCTAGCATCTGAACAGGGTACACCAACGAGGACTCAACAGGGCCTTAACTTTGACTTTTAAAACAAATATTTAACGGTTTTATGCAAATTCAGTGGCGTGGCCAGCCTTGTGGAGGAGGCAAATATATAAGGGGCGCATAATTCCTTGGGGCGGGGGGTGGAGCGTGTAGGATAACAACAAATGTTTGTACTAGTATGCTTTCGTAAAACTGAAGACACAATGACAATTACAAGGTACAAGTGATGAGAGACAAAAATATAATAACACGAGTATCAATGCTATAACCCAGAATAAATGGATACAGGATAAAATTTACTTGCCATGACCTGTATTTTGTATCTGTCACTTGTACTTTGTATTTGTCATTGTGTTTTCAGCCTAATAATTGCTTATTGGGGGAAGATATCAAAGACGAAACGCCCGCAGAGGGCGCCGCCGGATGCGAAACATTTTCTCGAGTGCCACCCCCAAAAAGGTTTATTCAAGCCCTCAAAAACCTTTTTTTTTCGAATACCAGGCCGAAAAACATTTATGTAAAGTAAAGTCTGTTTTTTTTTAAAGATAATTCCCGAAGTCAAAAATTTAGTAACTATGTTGGCAACACAAGCCTTTTCTACATAAAAAAATTGAAAGCATTGACAATTTTACATTGTATTGCCAACATAATGTCATTTTGACTTTTATCTTTAGAAAAAAAAATACTTTATTTTAAGCCTTACAAGAAATAATGTATGGACATGCCGTTAACTTCAAAAAATCCTCCCACGTCTCCGGGGATGCCTTGAAAACTAGAACAAATCCGGGGAAATCCGGACGGATGACAGCCCCACCCAACCCATTAACCCAATAAACAAATACCACATCCAGTGGCGCAGCCAGGGGGCCCGGGCCCCCCCAAGGCTTCAGAGAAAACTAGAAAAATATGAAGTAGATGAAAGCTGAAAACTGCTCATATCAGAGAAAAAGTTTAAAGGAAAGTGGATCTGTGTTTTTTCTTATAATTTTTTCTGCATGCCCCCCCCCCCCCCCCAAACAAAATTTCTGGCTGCACCACTGACCACATCAATCATCAAAACAGAAAATATCACCTTTCCTTTGATTGAACATTGAACTGAACCATTTACCAACAATGCCGACTTACGATAAAGAATAAAGAGTGAAGAGGTCAATGGAATAAATAGGAAACAGCATAATTTTATAGTTTCTTATTTTTAGCTTTTGTTTTTCAAGAGCGGTAGGGGCACCATTGTGTGGGGGCGGGGGGGCCGTCGCCCCCCCTGCCCCTCTACTGGCTACGCCACTGTGCAAATTGCTCTTATTTCATTAATTCAAGGTGACGGTTGGTAAAGTCTTTCAATAAGCAGAAAATCAAAATTATGGTAATATTTTATTCAAAGTTGAAATTCATGTTCGTTGTTCGATTTTTGGTAAAGGCAATGGGATTTTGTATGTTTGCCTGCAATAAAAAAAATTAAAAAATCATATATAGATAATATTGACATACATGATATTGTTATGTACCTACATAATTAAACGTTTAATTTAATGAAATTCTTCTACAATCTCAATTTGTAAAAATCTTTTTCCTTGTTCCTATCAGGGCTCTGGTGATACCAAATAAACTTGCGAAACATTGGCCATTTAAAAAGTGACTATTATTCTCAGCGCCGATCCTACACTCTAATTATTAAAATTTGTCTTGTTTTCAATTGTTGTCCTGTAGGTATCTATGTTTGCAATAAATGTATTCAAGTACTTACCTAATATTTCCAGTTATACATCCGGACCAACATCGGATATTAACAGTGCGGGAGTGTGCGAGAGCGCAAGGATTTCCGGACAGCTTCCAATTTTGTGGAACTATCCACAAAAAATACCAGCAGGTGGGAAATGCAGTTGCACCCTTGTTGGCATTAGCTCTTGGGAGGACAATAGGAAAAGCAGAGATGACACACCACAACAAGTAATTCAAGAACATTTATTGTGAAATAATAAATCATTTTCATCGTTATTATTAATTATGTTGCATATCGGTGACTATGGTTAATTATTATAGTTGTTAGTTATTTGTTAAATTTATATCTTAGTTGTGTAAAATGGTCGCGTTCACCTGCACTCAACATGTTGAGTGCTGGTGATCGCGACCGATTTTCAAATATTAATGTGATACATACCGAAGAAAATAAAGCTTCTGTTAAATTAATGGAGATGATAATTGAACCTGTTAAAGAGGAAATGGAGCTTCTTCTTTAATTGATTCAAGTATTTGAAGATATTTATAACGATTTGATTTATTTGCATACTATTTTTCCAATAATGAGGCATGTCTCACGACAATTGTTATACAGAAATAAATATTTTCATATTCCTTGGTTTATATTCGAAAAATTGTATTAGAAAGCTCACTTTAGTTACTTTTTATCTGGGTATATGTAAAAATGTATTTGTAATAGATTTGTTGCATTTAAATGGAGAATTTATGTTTTTCAAGAAAATAAACGTCTTTTTTTCTATATGATATTGATAATAAGTATATAAATCAGGAATTCCGAGTTTTTTCGTAGCATCCCTCATATCATTTAAAGGTCATCAAATCAAACATACAGGAAGTTAATTAATAAGAATAACTACACTTAACAAACATGACCACTACTTTTGATTTCACATGACATAACCTAAGACGACTCATACATTACTACAGATACCTACATTCCAAAAAAATAGTGTGTCTACTCAAGTTCACAGTTCACACCATAATATGGCAAACTTTTTTTATTAATAATTTGATGTAAAAAAGTTTTTTGATCATAAAAAGTTCTGCATGGTCCAAAACTTGAAATGCATTTTTCCCATTCATATTCCCTTTTAAGGTCTGTCAGATAATATGAACTTCATCTTGAATAAAGAATGAAGGCTTTCATGGCTGGTCAAATCTAGTAAAAAAGTGTTTCCGGGCTATAATGCCGTGGTCGTCGGTCGTCTACTGCTGAGGTACTGGTAGACATCTTCAGAGGCGGTGTGTTAGAGGACGAAGTGTTCTCTTCCGTGTTCCGCCAATGACTCGATTCGACGTTGTTGGGCCTGCGACCTGCGTTATTTCTATCCAGGGTTGAGGGCGTGGCTTGTATTACCCTATTTTCCTTGTCTCGTTCTCGGAAAGAAAGGGTCTTTGTTTTTCGGAGAACTGGCAACCAGCTTTTGCTAAGGTTCATGCCCTCTTCTTTTCTGTTGAAGTTGGTATGGTGTTTAGGTATCTCTATGGCTTCTCTGTTGAGTTTGGCGTAAAAATGTTTGGTTCTATTGAACGCTTGAGTCTGATCGAAACCCGTGGCGGTCCATAGATGATTTTCTGGGGGGGGGGGGGTAATGGATGATAGGAAAATCACCAAGTGTCGAAAGGCTCCCCGCCGGAGGCGAAATGTATCTCAATGCCAGCAAAATAGTTATACAGGGTGTGCACTTAGTAGACGATATCGCCTCTCAGGGTGATGCAAGAAAAAAAAATTAAATTCTAAAGTTGTTTGATACTCTACGGTCCATTAGTTAAAAATATTTTTGAATATACAGGGTGCTCGGTAAATGAGGTATGCGACAGAACTTTGTTATTTTAAATGAAACACCCTAAAACTAAAACTCGACCCTATTTGAAATATTTGAAATTTTTTCAAAAAATCGCAGTTTACATGTGTCAACAAAAGCCAACACATTTCATTCATTTGAGATCCTTAAGCAAAATCTTTTGCAGGTTGTTAGTGTATACTTACATTTACTTCATGATCCTATGAAAATCTGATAGATTCTACAGGGTGTTAGCAATACTGTTAATGTACACAAAACCAGACATTTCAAAAAACCATAGCTCATTTTTTTCAAATGAAATACCCTTTTTTTCACTGTAGTAGTAGGTACGTCGATACTGGTGAGCTTATCAAATTATACAATAGGTACCTTTTCATGCTTTATTTTATAGAACTTGTCTTTTGTTAAAATTTTATTGTCTTGAAAAAATCTTTGTCTGGGGGGTATTCACCCCTCTACCCCCCCCCCCCACCCCCCTTTAAACCGCCCTTGGTCGAAACGGATGACATGGTTTATTGTTTGTGTTAACATGTGTTCGGCGATTGCTGATCTATCTCTATTTGTCCCTGCTGAGAGTTTCTTTTGTGTGTCCGATTTTAGACATGCTTAATGTTGTGTTTTTCTAGCGTTCGTCCTATGCGATCTGTGACATTTTTGATGTGGGGAAGAAAGGCTTTTGTTGTTTGGAACTATGGACAGGCAGAGCTCGAAAACTTCCTTAATCATCTAAACTCAATAAAGGACAACAAAATTGCATTCCTCGACGTCCTCTTAGCAAGATTACCCTCAGGTAAACTGGGACACAAAGTATACAGTGTCATTACTTAAGTGTGCAACATATGGGATTTTTTTTTAGTAATAGCACAATCAAAATACAAACAAGGCCAAAAGTTGGTGCATGTCTGATAATCATATTAGGTGCACTTAGAATGGTTGCAAGTCAAACAGCATACAGGGTGGCTCAAAAAATATTAAAATTCTACTAATACTTACTTAAATAAAATAAAACTTGCAGTAAAGGAGAGTTTTTTTAATATGGCTATTATCATTAGTAATGTTTTAAATTGTTAAAAAAAAAATTTGCGACATTTTAAAGTTGTGTTGAATATCATTGCAACAAACATGAATTTTGTGATTCCATAAAAAATTAAAAATCTTAGTTAATTTTACAAATATGCTTGAATTTGAACAAAGTTATGTAAAATTGATTTGATTTTAATTAATTTTTGAAAGTATTAAGGACGGAAACAAAAAATAAAAAAAATATAGAAATTAAAGATGTTTTTCGAAAGAAAATAAAAAAAACCTTAGGAGGCTATGTTTCGGTATTTAGGCATTACTTTTAATTCCAAACAACTTTTCTCTATAACATTTTGCTGAATTTTCTAAAATAAGGGTACTTTACAGTACAGCTTCAATATTGTTTGAGCTATATACCCTGTATGCTGTTTGACTTGCAACCATTCTAAGTGCATATTAGGTGCATTATCAGACATGCATCAACTTTTGGCCTTGTTTGTATTTGGGTTGTGCTATTACTAAAAAAAATCCCCACATGTTGCACACTTAAAAAATCACACTGTATAGGAAGCCGACGCATACGGACAGATACTCAACAAGGAATCCAATCACCATCCTAGGCAAAAGATGGGAGTGATTAAAACTCTATCTGACAGGGCAATCCGGATTTGTGAACCCAGATAGCTTCATGACGAGATGCAACACCTAAAATCAGCACTTGAAGGAAATGGGTACTTCAAGCAGGAAATAAATAGCGACCGAAGCAATAGCGCCAGTGATGCCAACTCTAGGGATTTGTCCCTAGTTCTAGGGATAAATATGGAAAAAAAAATTGTCTAGGGATATAGGGAAATTCTAGGGATTTTCCGATATTTTTTTTTTCTTATACACTTTATTTTATTCTGAAAAAATAGATACATAAATAATATTATTATGCATTCTTTAAAAAATTAGAAGTGACCTTATTATTGGTTTTTCTGAGTAATTTCATACAACATACAACAGTATCATTTTTGTATGTTGTAAAGTGACTCTTTGACTTTCGTGTAACGTGATGTGTGTGAGTGTGTGGGGATTTTCGCAACAATCGTGTCGAATCAGAAGACAGTTTGTCGTCACTATCGCCACCAGTGACATCATAACAATGTTTTATTGCTTTTGGAAATTTTGTGTTGTTTTTTTAAAAACTTGAGGATGAGTGCGATTAGTTTTCAAAGTATGATTTTTTTCTCTTGTAAATTGCAACTATAACCTTACATATACAATTATTATTGGGCTGTAATAATAATTCTAAAATGGATTTGAAAAAAATAAATTCTAGGGAATTCTAGGGATATTTTTTTCAAATCTAGGTATCTTCACATCCCATCAGTTGGCAACACTGAACAGCGCACAAATAATAAGGAACCAGCACAGGTGGCAGGGAGAGCCTTTCTTCTCTACATTAAAAATGTCACAGATTGCATAGGACGAACGCTAGAAAAACATAACATTAAGCCCGTCTACAAGCCTACAGGAACAATTCAGCAAGGTCTAAGATCGGCCAAGGATCCTAGGGCACTTCTCGAAACGGCTGGCGCCTATAGAATTCCCTGCTCTTGTGGATCTGTCTATTTAGGAACAACCAAACGCTCTATCAACACCATGGTCAAAGAGCACAAAAGAAACTGTCAGCAGGGACAAATAGATAAATTAGCAATCGCCGAACTCGTGCCAAGCAAGATAGGTATATTTCCAGTAAACGCGGATATACGTGAACTAAATGTCAAATTAGCTTTAAAATGCGCGGATGTCACCAAATTTATCAATCACACGTACAACTGCGGTGCTTAAGAGACACTGTCTGAAATTCTCTGAATTGCCTATTGTATGTCCTACCATTGTTATATTTCCTGAGCTAGTGACACCTTTGCTTGATCCCGGCATCACAGCTTCGACGAAAGTAGCAGCTAGTGCGAAAGAATTCATCGCTGACACAGACTCATTGCTGGTAGACAAACTATAGCAGCATTCCTTTTACCCGTTAAGTTACTCCGAGCTGCTCAATATCAAAAGTTTGAACGTTCCTTTTAAAAATGCGTTAAGCACTCGAGTGCACCCCCATTTCCCCTGATGTACCAAATTTGCAGGGGGTGCAAGAATCACGGGTATGCTAATATTAAAGAATAATGATAATATTTGAATTGCGCCGTCTCAAACATCATTTAATTTTATGAGTACCTACAGGTGTGAGAATTAAGTCGTTGAATCGAAGTTCCGAGGCTAACCGCTAAAATAGGTTCCAGTGCGGAAAAATTCAGACAGAAAGAAAGAAGTCGCGAAAAGTCCAAAGTCTTCACCAGTTACCAGTCGAGAGTTCTAATTAAATATACAGGTGTACTTAGATCAAATAGATCAGTGAATACGCAAATTTGTTTAAGTACCTACTCCAACCGGTGCAATTTAGACTTCAGAACCTAACCATTTATTGCTACAATAGGTTTGTTTCAGCAGGCTGACAGAAATGTTGGAAGCAGCTTGAGGCATGCGCAATGATAAATTTGTGATATCTTTTCTCATCTGAGCCAGCTTTTTTGTGTGTTTTATGGTACTTATAGTACCTATAGTACCATGTATTATCAGTGCACCGTATATAGAAGAAGTGGCTGGAAAAATCAACATTGAATTTTGATTTATTTGTTTATATAGGGTGACAATGTGAAAACGAACAGTCGGGAATATCTCTTAGACAAAAAATACTAGCAGGAAGATCTCAAATACGTATCGGTGGATTGGAGGGGGAACCCAAATGAGGCACTTTTTGAATCACCTCGCCTCACCCCTTGGGGGGTAGCTACCCCAACTTATTTTTTTCAAATAGGAACCTACCTTGTGATGCACATCGTTCGATAGCACGTTGCTATCCCTTTACAGTCATATAGCAAAATCTCAAATCGGACGATTGGTTTTTGA